AAAAAAAAAAAAAAAATTTGTGAAAAGATAAGAAAAAAGCTTGAGAGTAAAATTTCATCCTCTATGGAAAACTGTACCAACATTTTGTGATTATATGCAGGGGACGTATTTGCTTGTTTTTGCTTTTGGGGTTTTTTTGGTACCGGGGATCGAACTCGGGTTCTTGCGCTTGCACAGCAGGCAGCAAAACCACTGAGCTAAATGCCTGGCCCTGGGGTTTTTTTTTATTAATTTTACTGGTACATTTTAGATATGTACATTTTAGATAATGATCACATTCATGATACAGAATTTTTACCTCACATAATTATCTTCATTCTTCTTTTTTTCTCTAATCCCCAAGTATTTGCTTGTTTTTGAAGTCAGTGGCCTAGGCCAGTGATGGCGAACCTTTTAGAGCTTTCAATACAAACAGCTTGCTGCGGCAGTCATGCCATAGGTTCACTACCACACTGGTCTAGGCAATAAGCAGGGGATAAAAAAAGATGCTAAATGCAGTAGTCCAAGTGACTTCATGTACTTCAATTTTCATTACTTTGTTTTTTATGTAGACTAAAGTAATATGTTATTAAAACAAATAAAAAATCAGGTGTCGAGGTACACACCTATAATCCCAGCACTCTGGGAGGCCAAAAAGGAAAACACAAGTTGAAGACCAGCCTCAGTTCCATCCCCAGTACCAAAAAAAAGACCAGCCCGGGAAATTTAGCAATTTACCAAGACACTGTATAAAAATAAATAAAAAGAGCTGAGGCTATAACTCAGTGCAAAGGCCCTGGGTTTCACTTCTCGTACCATGCAGACTGGAAAGGGAACACAGATATGGAAAAAATGCAAATTCTTAAAGTTATTTAAAAAGTTTTAGATACAATATTGCTAAACTTAAAAAGTCAAATAATTCCCTCTGAATATAACCTAATATTATGGTACAGAAAAATGAAAAGAATTGGATTAAGTGGTAAAAGTTCTAGTCCTGGCCCAGGGATTTAGCTCAGTGTGGCGTGCCTGCCTCCCAAGCACAAGGTCCTGAGTTCTATCCCCGGTACTGGAAAAAAAAAAGTTCTATTCCTAGTGTCACTAACCAGCTATATGGCCTTAGGTGAGTCCTCATCTCTCTGGGTCTCTCCTATTACATGAGAGTTGTAATCTCAGGTAACTTTCAACACTATAATTCTATTTCCTTATACTACAAATAAACTCAAGTTTAACTTATCAAAATGTTAAGAACTTAGAAAACATAAATATTGCCTTCCAGTAAATTAAAATTTGGAACCAGGTATGGTGGTGCACACTAGTACTCCCAGCACTCAATAGGCTCAGGCAAACAGGCAAGTTGGTGTAGCCTGTAATCCCAGCACTCAGGAGGCAGAGGTGGGAGGATCTATGCAAGTTCAAGACCAGCCTGAATTACATAGTAAGACCCTGTCTCAAAAAACAAAACAAAACAGGCTGAGGCAGGAGGACTGCTTCAAATTCAAGGCCAGCCTGAGCTACACATTGAGATCTAGGACAGCCTGGACTATACCAAGATGAAGTCTCTAAAAAAAAAAAAAAAATTCATGTTTTAGCCTCAGATTTTAATGTTTATAGTGAAATCTAGCTGCTACTATTTTCTCCCTAAACGAAGATGACTTTTGCTTCAGTTACAGCTATATACAGTAGTTTCTACAGCCTGCCCATTGTTTTTCCCAAATACCAAAACCCTATAAGCAATATTGCACTACTCAGAGTTATTTACACAGCAGAGACAATATTGATAGGGTTATAGGATCTGGTGATAAACAAGAAATTTGGAAGTTACACAGTAGGAAATTTACTGACCAATTATGATGGTCTGTAAAATACTGATAAACTTCACTCACTGCCCTCATTCTTATAAGTGAGCCTCCTAGAATCCTTGTAAAACAGTAAAGTTAGTGTTTCTACTTTTAGGTAATTAACTTTAACTACCTTCATTATTTTTAAGGGAATTATAATATTTAAAGTAAAATTAGTGATTTTACTGATGCCCAAGAGATTTATAGTTCAGAAACTACAGTTTTTCTTTTATTTCTTTTATTTTATTTTGGTACCAGGGATTGAACTCAGGACCTTGTGCTTGAGAAGCAGGTGGCAGAACCACTGAGCTAAATCCCTGGCCCCTTACAGTATTAAATCAGTAAAAGAGGGAAAATGTTTGATGTTGACCCTAAGGGTGATAAATAAAATATGCAAGTTAACTGGAAAAAACATACAGAAATCATTGTTAAAGCATCCCAAGAGCCGCCAATTAACATTTTCTTCAGAAGTAGATTGGGTCTAAAAAGAAGATCCTACATAAATGTGAAAAGAGGTTAGGAAATAATTTTGAGTTTTAGAAAGTATGCTACAAAACACCTAAAATAAATTTTTAAAACAGAGTATGCTACATATTTCATAAGCATAATATATTTTGTTGTACTAGTTTTTAATAAGACCTGCTTATGACTCTTAAGTAAATGGCACACTGTATCACATACTACTCAACTATTTGGCAGCAAAGAGAAAATATAGATGCAGTTCCCAGCTCAAAAAGACTTGCTCTTTTTAAAGAATCCATAGATTCTCACAGCAACAGTAGTGCTGTCCTCCTACACTGCTCTTAAAACTCCAACCAAATCCTTTGGTGAGAGGCCTTGTCTGAACAGCATCAACTCATGGGAAAATAAGGAGATAAGGAGGCTGAGGCAGGAGGATTGCTGTGAGTTAGAGGCCAGCCTGAGCTACATAGTGAGACTTCAAGGCCAGCCCAAACTGAATAGTGAGACCTTGTCTCCAAAAAAAAAAAAAAAATAGCAATGTTTCCTATTGAGGGCTAGGTAAGCATAGAGAAGAGTTGGTATAGGTGTGCTCTGAACTTACTAGGTACAGTAGACTTAAAAATACATTTTCCAGGGCCGAGGATTTAGCTCAGTGGTTTCGCCACCTGCTGCGCAAGTGCAAGAACCCGAGTTTGAACCCCAATACCAAAAAAAAACAACAAAAAAAATACATTTTCCATAGAAACACTTGTTTTAAGGGAACGTTAAGTATCTTGATTTTCCTAGAACTAGTTTAATTATATTTTTAACCAAAAAACCTACTTTTCTTAATTCTGTTCACTCCAATACACATTTTGAAACACCTTTATCTACTCTCATTTTACTTAGCCCATGGCTATAATTTACCATCCTCTGTACTATAATTATTTGTTTGCATGGCAACATCATCACTTGGTTTCAAATATCTTACTGGCAAGAGCCTCCACTTCTTTGGCGGGGGGAGGTGCTAGGTGCAGTACTCTACCACTGAGCTACATCTCCAACCCCAGTATCCCTGGTTTTTAAGGTACAGCCAAAGCATGACGAAGGAAATAGATCAAAGAGCATTCATTTATTTGAAAGGACAAACAGCCTGGGAACCAAACCACCCTTCAAAACCTGTTTTAAGGAAAATTATTTCAAGTTCCCAACAAGTTGAGGGCCACCTGTAATGTCTACACAGTCAAAATTTATTTTCCCTTATTCTGATGAAGAGTTTGGACTATTATCCACTCTTCTAAACAAAACAAATACATGTCTATGTTTGTCGGAAACAGATGAATAGCAGTACGCACAAGCACCAGGTTATAAGTACCAGGTTATTTCTGGCAGCAGACACCCAAAGGGGAAGAAAGTAGACTGAAGTTTTAGATTCATCAGCTCCCAATCTCAAGCTTTTACAGAACTACTGCAAAGGGGGCCAGGGATTTAGCTCAGTGGTTCTGGCACCTGCCTCGCAAGTGCAAGGTCCCGAGTTCAATCCCCGGTACCAAAAAAAAAAACCCACACACACACACAGAACTATTGCAAAGGTATACACATGAAGTAGTTTACTTCTCTAAAGCTTTCAGTATCCTAAATTATCTATGTTAATTGTGCTGTGGACACATAATAGACTACAGAAGTGGAATTTTCACAATATATTGAAGAAACTGGTTTAAAAAAAGTTATAGATATATCTGCAAAAATTCTGAAATCTTGTAATAGTCAGTCAGGGAATTGTAGCAGGTTTCTTTTTCATTTTTAGTTATCTATCTGCTTATTTTACGACAAAAAATGTATTACATATACAAAGGGTAATCAAAAAATATTGTAAATGTTTACATTTTTAAAAATTTATTACAATAAAAAAACAGTGCCAAGGATGATGGGATAAGCACATTCAAAGAAGAGTATTTTGAGTATGTTGAAGAGAATTAATAGTACAGTGTGAT